TTGGTGGCCATGGTAACAATGTGACATCATTATGTTGAAAGAAGTCTATTGTGACTCTTGCAACATGTGGTCGGGCATTATCTTGTTGGAAAGTTGGATCTGCCAGGGTGTCAAGATAGGGTAAAAGATGGGGTTCTAGAACTTCGTGGATATAACGCTGCGCGTTCATGTTACCTCTGATGAAGATTAAAGGTGACCTGGAACCATAAGCTATAGCACCCCAAACCATAACTCCAACAGTGTGATGAACATGTCTTTCAACAAAAAACTGTGGATTCCTCCTTTCACCACGTCGCCTTCTAACCCTGGCACGACCATCGTGCATGCCTAAACAAAATCGAGACTCGTCACTAAAGACAATACTGTTCCATTCCTGATCCCAGAGTGACCGTTGTCTGCACCACTCAAGGCGATTACGTCGGTGTTCTCGAGTTAAAGGGAGGACCCAGTGTGGCCGGTATGAAAACAAGCCAAAACTTCTCATTCGTCGGTAAACACTTCGCATGCCAATAGGTCTTCCGTGTTCTGCAAACCATTCATTTGCAATGGACCTGGTAGTGGAGAAACGGTCCCTTAAGGCCAATAATCTTAGGCGGCGATCTTCACGGTCTGTTGTTCTACGGCGGTCCAGTGCCCCTTGCTCTTTGCGTACGGCCTTCTCGAAGCCATGCCTGACAACACCTAACCACAGTGTCTACACTTCTTTGCACTCTAACTGCAATTGCCCGAAAAGAAAGTCCAGCTTCCCGAAGTCCCACTATACGGCCCCTATCAAACTCACTAAGTTGACGAAATCGTACAGGTCTCCGTACTCTAGGCATCGTAACCGATCGTAAAGGATGTCAAGAACCAAAATCCGCCAACGTTGATTTTACTTTACGGCTGAAATATTCATTTTTAGAGCGTTAGTGAATTAAAAAAAAGCAGTATAAAAACCGTGTCCAACTGATAAGGCTGAAAATTTTTTCACTTGTTATTTACAGTAAGATAAATACATTCACAACTTTTATTAAAATAAAACCATTTAAACTTAGTATAGATTAAAATTATTAGGTCCAGTGTCGTCCCGCGGGGCACCTTAGCGAATATTATTGACAAAAATGTACGCCACTACCTTTTTTGTAACTTTAATATTTGTTGTTTCATTAAGCATCTGAAAATACAACTTCTTTGCCTCTTGTATTTTTTCCGTATCTCACTTCGTTTTCGAAAGAAAAACCGTTTTATTGCACGGCAGTGGACAAAATTGGTTTATTAATTTTGTTAGAAAAATCACAAGTGCCTTGGAAAACAAAAAATCCTTTCTATATGGAAGTTTGACGTTTGCGCGTCAGTTCAAATTTCAACAGAATCGTGTAAATATTTTTTAAGATATTAATAAATTTTGTCCTGTATATTGAAAACTCACCATTTCCGGACCCATGTTTAAAGAATTTTTTTTTCATTTTTTCAAACAAGGAATCACGCTTTAAAATATCTCCGACTATCAGACCATGTATGAGAGTCATTTGTTTAATGTTAATGGGTATCATTCCCTAGTTCTGGGATGTTTAATTACTTTAAAAAAAGTATGTGTTGCAGCAAATTCGGACGCACCTTATGATGAGTGCAAAAGTCAGTTCAACACGTCAAGAATCATTAAAATGAACGCATTAAGTCAGTTTCATCAACCACCAGGCTTCGTTGTCTATAACTCTGGTGAGTATAATTATCATCAGGCTGAGTCGATCAGAAGCATATCCAAATCCAAAATAAAATAAAGCCATTTTTACATTCGCTCTCTCAGCTTGGATTTGACTGGGGCTTAGAGATGATTATTTCATCGATCGATCTTTTCTAGTGGATCGAATACCAACGGAATTTAAAAGCTTCAAATCGATTACAAAACAACTGAAAGAATACTATACGACCCATCCGAAGTTCCGTATTTTATCGGCAGGACAGTCTGAGTTAGGGGAAAGTTATAACGTAGACGCAAAGCCTATTGGAATACGAAAATATGGATCTTCAAGTTTCCGCCACAAGCCTGCTGGTAACGCGGGAATTTTGAAAAATTATATTCCTAGTGAAATCACTGAACAGGTACGTGAACGTTCCTTCGTGTCAAAAATAAAGACGTGGAACTCAAAACTACGCGATATGGCGTCCATAAGAATAAATAAGTAAAAGTAAAAGCAGTATTTTACCAGTTTTACGATTATCTCTTTAAACATAAAATCTTGCTTCCCATCATTTCCCGTTTGTAGCCTAGTGTAAATATGTTGGTTTTTTTATTCTTCCTTAAATATGATTCAGAACTACTTAGGTTTATCTCCAAAGTGCCTCATTTCCTACGGAGTTCCCCAAGGATCCGTACTTGGGCCACTACTATTCATTTTGTATATTTCTGGCATGTAAACGCAGTCGTTTCCATTACCACAACGTTCAAAAGCTGAATCTAACGTAAATCAAGATATAAAATCTACGTGGGACTAACTTTATAATAGATAATATATAATATAATAATAATAAAAATATAAAATATAGAATAAAATATAATATATATATATAATAATATATATATAATAATAAATATAATATAATATATAATATATAATATAATATAAATATATAAGATATAATAATATATAATATAATATATAATATATAATATATAATATAATAAAATATAATAATAATATAATATATAATATATAATATATAATATATATCTGTTCAATAATGAAATGTTGAATGTTTCTCACTTATATTATACGCTTACATTTTTTACTTATCAAATGTTTCTTTATGTTTTTGTATCCTGTTTTTTTTTTTTTTGACGATTGAAGACAATTATCATCATTCTTGTTAACGTTTTCGCATTCTTCATTTTCTTATTTATATTTGTGTAGGACACCTCAGACTACGACTGGTCTCAAAATGTGAACAAATAGATCCCGATTTCAGCGACTATCCATCGAAGATACCATACCTTACAATCAAAAACAATTGTTGCTGAAAGACTCGAAAAACAGGGATCCGAGAAAATCCGAACGGAAAAATATCGAAATTCCGTATCCACAAAAGAGAAACTTGTCGGACACGAAAAGCAATCTACGATTACGACATGTCAGATCGGGCTAGGAAAAGACTGATGGACGATGTCGACTATGTTTCGGACCGAGATTCTGAAGGGTACACGTTCGTGAAAAACGAAGAGAGCGGCGGTTGAGAAGGTCGAAATTTGAAACAGAGAGACGTTACACGCATTACGAACAAGATCAAGGAAAAGGACGAATATCCAGAAGCATCCAGAAAAAATAATGGGACGAGATATGAAGGCGGAAACAGAACTTTTGAACCTTTGCAGTGGAATCGGAGAAAGAAGTGCAAGATGGTCTCAGTGGCAATTACAGAGGGAAGAGAGCGGTTATTACACCTTTGAAGTTCTTCTAAAATCACGGTCAGTAGGTAAGAAGCTACTCGTAATTCAAAATGTGAGTATGGCAAATAAAGGCAAATTAACCCAGTTTTCAGTTTCCAAATCCTAACTTGTTGTAATAGTTATATGTTTCATAGCAATCAATCGTTTTCAGGTGCCATTTTAGACTCTTTGAATTCCACGAATCAGTCAAATACCATAGACTTGGTATTCATAACTTACTGGCAACCAGTGAACGTACAGCAACCAAGTTCTCTAAAAAATGACATCCAGGAATGTATCGAAGACAAAATGGCACTGAATTCAAAAGGTGTGTATCCCCGTTTCAAATATGTTTGTTACCAGTTTTGAGAGCTTTGAATAATTTGAGAGGTTTGATAGTGACGTGTTTTTAGAGACTTAGGGTTTTCGAATTTTTAAAGATTTTAGAGACATTTTAGATATCTTAGACGTTTCAGACACCTTAGACACTTTAAAGATTTTCGTTATTTTTCGAAATTTTCAGGATTTTCCAAATTTTCGAGATCTTTCACATTTTCGAGTTTTTGGGATTTTCGATTTCCGAGATTTTCTGAATTTTCTGAATTTCTGAGATATTTGAGATTTTCGAGATTTACAAGATTTTCGAGATATTAGTAAATTTCGAGTTTTTCGATATTTCCACGTATTTCGAGATTTTCGAAATTTTCGAGATTTTAGAGAAATTTCGAGACTTTCAAAATTTTCGAAATTTCCGAGATTTTTGAGATCTTGTGTTTTCTCGAGATTTTCGAAATCTTCTAAATTTTTGAGATTTTCGAAATTTTTGCGATTTTTAAAATTCACGAAATGATCGAGATTTTCGAGATCTTCTGAATTTCCGAGATTTTGCGAATTCCGAGATTTCCGATTTTTTCCGAGACTTGAGATTCTTTCTGGGTTTTTGAAATTTTCAAGATTTCCCAGATTTTCGAGATTTTCTAAATTTTCCATATTTTCGAGATCCTCGAGATTTTGAGAATTCCGAGATTTCCTAGATTTCCGAAATTTTTCGATTTCGTGTATTTACAGATTTCCGAGATTTTCGAAGTTTTCGGTATTTCGAAATTTTTCGATCTTCCGAGATTTCCGTGATTTTAAGAATTCGAAATTTTCGAGATTTTGAAAATTTCGATTTTCTGAATTTTCGAAATACACGAGATTTTCGTAATTTTCGAGATTTTCAAAATTTACGAAATGATCGAGATTTTCTAGATATTCTGAATTTCAAAGATTTCCGTGATTTTCGAGATTTTGAGATTTTGCGAATTCCGAGAATTCCGATTTTTTCCGATATTTTTGGGAATATCTGGATTTTTTAAATTTTAGAGATTTCCCAGATTTTCGAGATTGTCTAAATTTTCTATATTTTCGAGATCCTCGAGATTTTTGAGAATCCCGAGATTTCCTAGATTTCCGAAATTTTCGATTTTCTGTATTTACAGATTTCTGAGATTTTCGAAGTTTTCGGTATTTCGAAATTTTCGATCTTCCGAGATTTCCGTGATTTTAAAGAATTCGAAATTTCGAGATTTTGAAAATTTTTGAGAATTTTCTGAATTTTCGAAATATACGAGATTTTCGTAATTTTCGAGATTTTAGAAATTTTCGAGATTTTCAAAATTTACGAAATGATCGAGATTTTCTAGATATTCTGAATTTCAAAGATTTCCGTGATTTTCGAGATTTTGAGATTTTGCGAATTCCGAGATTTCCGATTTTTTCCGATATTTTGAGACTTTCTGGATTTTATAAATGTTAGAGATTTCCCAGTCTTTCGAGATTGTCTAAATTTTCCATATTTTCGAGATCCTCGAGATTTTTGAGAATTCCGAGATTTCCTAGATCTCCGAAATTTTCGATTTTCGAGAATTTACAGATTTCCGAGATTTTCGAAGTTTTCGATTTTCGAGATTTCAGAGATTTGAAGAAGTCGAAATTTTCGAGATTTTGAAAATTTCGAGATTTTCTGAATTTTCGAAATATACGAGATTTTTGAGATTTTCGATTTTCGAAAATTTTCGAGATTTCCGACATTTTAGATGGGTTCGAGGTTTTCGGAATTTTGAAATTCACGAGATTTTAGAGATCTTAGAGTGCATGGAGTAACTCAGCATAATTCTTAAAAAGAAAATTTTCGCATTACAGATCCCACTTCTGACTACCAAAAGAATACATAAAAAGAACAACGTGCCCTGTACAAACAAGAGTGCCTGGAAGAACAATCGAATTTGCGTAACACATTCGCCTACTACGACCGTCTTCAACAGTTGCACTTGGGACAAATGACCGTCTACCGCGTGACAATCGAATGCGAATGCCAACTAGCCAAAAAGAACGAGAGGTGCGCCAGGTTTCTGCCGAGAAAGGAACAGAGTTGGCCGGAGTACTTAGGAAGGAACGGGGACGGGATCTTTGTTTCCAGGGGGTGAAATTTGTAAATTATTTATAAAATTTCGTTTGATTATTATGGAGGATAAAAATAACATTCTCAACACAAGTAACAGATTCCGTCAGAACCTAGACTATCGATGGAAGTAGAAAAAATATCTTTTTCAAGCATATTTTTCATCCCAAATCAGTATAAATCGCTTGAAACCCATAATCAAAAGAAATTCCGAACATATATCCTTGCCATAGCATAACAGCTTTTATTTTGATCCTTCCGAGTACAATTTATTGTAACTTATACCAGAACTAGTTTGTAAATACTGTAAAATTATTTGTATATATCAAATTCTATCCAGATTTTTGTTAAGTCAGATTCTACTTAACAAAATGTCATCATTTCAGCTATATTGCAGCACTTTCATCCGTAATTTTCAGACCTCAAGCTACAAAAAACATATTGAAAATTCTTCTTATTTGTCAGAATCTAATTTCTAAATTGAACCTTACATGAATTATACAAAATTCCACAGTTGAACGCTTGACAATCGTTTAGACATGCACGTAACAGCCTTTAGCTTTAAGCTATATACAAATGCAATTTTTCCGAAGCAACTCTCCTAAAGCATAATACACTCATTCATATCCACAACACTGTTAAGGATTTTTAAAGAAAATTCGGAATTTTGAACTAACCGAGATTATAGAAAAATGTATGAGACGTATATCTACATATTATATTGATAATAAAACAAAATGTTGATAAGGTGTGTGGAGTGCAAAAAATGACTAGTAGCTATTCCTATTACTAAACCTCCTCATAATGCGTAAAATATACGAGGGTTGTCTCAAAAATATGGTTTCCAACGCCAAAAATGTGGGAACCATATTTTCAAACAACCCTCGTAGGTAAATATTACGTTTCATTCAGAATAAAATAAATATGATTTCTCTCACTTTTGCATTGAAATTCGTAACAGAAACGGTAAATAATAAAATATCAGCTTGCAAATAATTGGCTGGAAGATATTTGCAACTGTCATTTTATTAAAAAATAGCTACTAATCGTGGACTGTGTATATTGATGAATATAACAATATGTTTAAAAGTAAATAGATATGTTATTTTTTATAATAAAATGTTGATTATCTATACTATGTGGTTTTAATTTATCTCATTCGTTAAATTGAAAATGGAGTCGAATTAATCCAGTACTTCGCTTGCATCTCACGTTTTGATTGTGCGAAGTGACTCATGGATCAAAATACGATCCTGTCATCAGCAGTAGGAAGACTAAAAAGTCTTTAAACGACCTAGAGTTTGAAAAAACAATAGTCAAACTTCATTTTACTTTAAATTTGGCTTTTAGTATGGATAGATAAATAATCTTTATCTTCATTTAGATTTCTAATTATTCTTGTAATAAAGAAAATCTTTGCTAGTCGAGAAAGCACTTTACATACATGATTAGTAAAATCTGATTTGAGATCTATGTTCGGTACCAAAAATTTGATGGTGTCTGTTTTGTGTATCAACTCATTTAAATTTATAAAATCGATAAAGCACTTCTGTACCTCAGAACCAGACTAGATTAAGTCGAAATAAGTAGTTTTGATATAATTGTATTTGAAATATTTTTCTTGCAAAGTATTGATATGAATTAAATAGTCGTAACTTCCATATTATTACCGATAGATGGACTCTGCATGTAGCAAATGAAAATTCACAATATTATAATAAGCTTAACATATTAAACTCATTTTTGAAAAAATGGACTTAACCTAGTCTGGCTGTGAGGTACACATTTGGAAGTCATACATTTTGCCTTATTAACATCTAAAGTCAAGTAGTTGTTGTCACACCATTTTTTTATTGATTGTAAATCAGTCACAGGAAAAACTACGAATTTGCCAAGTCTATTAAATCGTTGATATAGACTAAGAATAGGATTGGACCTGATACCGATCTCTGAGGTACCTCTGCGTTTATATTTAATTTATTTGAAATATAGTGTCTTAATAATTTTACAATTTGGAATCGAAATATGTTCGAACCAAATGAGCGAAACTCCGGCACAACCACATTCGTTTAATGTTTTCAATAATATACAGGGTGGCGCAAAGAAAACGAAACAGACGCATTTGGCAGCTCAGTTTTTTTTTGGAAAAACGCTCAGACCCGTCGATTTTGTGTTCGAGGGGGACACAAGTTTGGCAAAAAAATCACGTTAGCACGTGCAGCCCCCTAAGCGGGGTGACACCACCCCAAAATCTTAAATGGAAAGGGGGGTCGAGTGATACCTTATTTTAAAGGTCTTTCAATTCCCTTTATCGTAAACTATGTACTAAATTCCTATTTAAAATAAGTTTGAGATATTTCCTTATCTTCCTTCAAGAAATAACTTTTTGCCACAAAAAACGCTCAAACAGCTATTTTCAACAAAAAATGATAAACAAACCATGGGCGTAGTGAAGAAAAGCATTTACTTATTAAGTAAATTCTTTTAGTCAAATTTCTTCTGAAAGTAGTACAAACCAATCTGACGTACCTATTAAAGTCTACTTTAAGCTTTAAATCAATAAATCTTCAAAACTACTGAACTGAAGCTCATATATTTTACATCATTTTAAAGGGAATTGAAAGACCTTTAAAATAAGGTATAACTCAACCCCCCTTTCCATTTAAGATTTTAGGGTTGCTGTCACCCCGGCCCAGGGGGCTGCACGTGTTAACGTAATTTTTTGCCAAACTTGTGTCCCCCTCGAAAACAAAATCGACGGGTCTGAGCGTTTTTCCAAAAAAAAAAACTGAACTGTCAGTAAATGCGCCACCCTGTATAATGATTTACACAATCAAAAGCTTTGGAAAACTCACAAAAAAGAGCTATTGGAATTTGTTTATCGTTTAAATTTTAATCGCAGACTTCAATCCGGAAAGTGATAATAAAGTCCATCAAAACGTACATCTTTAGTATTGTGACAAACGGCGCCATCTGTTGGGCGAGTCTCCTACTCGCCAGAGCTTAATGGCCGATCTCTGCTTTTACGCGAACCACGACCGTACAAGTCGCTTGGCGGCGCCTGTGAGGACGGTGACCGTGGATCGCCTTCTATATCGACGCGAAGCTACCTCCAATATTCTAGATGCCGCTTTGTGGTTCACCAGACCTTTCTCGAAACAGCAATTGCGACTATAACTCGGCGGCCGGGAGATGGAAGTAGAGTACTGAATACGGTAGAGTAGCAGAGCGGAGTGAAGGATAGCGCAGTCAATGGTGACATAAGAATTAGTCAAACAGAAATAGTGGTTACATAAATGTTGCAATGTGTATTTCTTTTTGTGGAATCCAGTGTCTTAATTCACACCGAAAAGAACCCAGAAAAACGCTACAGTATTTTCTCACGGACATAGATCAAACCAACTCGGTTGCCCATAGCAACAGTGTTGCGCCGTTGACTTTCTTGACCTGATTTTTGAAATTGAACGGCGGGCAATTTGGGCTCTATATAATCTTTGAATAATATTTAAAATGGCCTCTGCTAGATGTATGCCTTTCAGGCCACACGATTTCATGTACGGTAGGTACGATTTTGCTTGGAATTAGACCAAATTGTGCACTATGAAGAGCTATTTTGCTTTCAGATCCGATTTTTACTGTTTCTGGACCCGCAGATCACTACAAAGCTGCTATAGCTGCAAAAATGTCTACAGCGAAATTCGTAAGTAGAAATAAAATTACTATTGAAGCTTCTTCTTATGAGAGAACCCCATTTAGGGTTACGTTTGCTAGTAAAGAGGGCACATCATTGTTTATATCTTTTTAATGGAAATCTCTCCATCAAGTAACTAACAGTGGCATCTTTAATAATCCATTATGTTTCTTCCCTTATGCGTCATTGAACTTGTTTAAAAACAAGCTTCTTTCTCTCTGAAAGTCAGCTGGCCGCGAAAAGTTTCTTTGAGGGCAAACATGTTACTTCTGAATTAAAATAAGTTGCTATTTTTTTCAGCAAATATGTCCGATATTCCCGAACATGTTCTCGGACCTGCCCTCACGACCCAGAGTCCAATACGTCCGGAGGCGGCCCACGTTGAAAGCGCCGCCCCCGTTCAAACGACGTTTGCCGTCGGAACCGACCGATCCTCGACTTCAGAGACAGCCTGACGTCCTAGGGAAAGATAGGCTCAAGTTTTTCTGCCCTATCATCAATTTTCCCACCAAGGTATGACAGCAAACTAATTTTATTTCATGAGGGAATAATGTTATCGCGAAGTACCAGGAACTTTTTAGTTTTTGCAAATCGTTCCAGTGGAGATGGAAACAAATGCCAAAAACGGAAAAAATAAAAACCTGTCAAACTTAATGCACTTCCAACCCCGGTAATTCTATTAACATATTAGAAATATTTCACACATCACAAATTTTTCCGTCAAGCTTGGAAAAAGATTTTTAGCGGCCGAATCGCGTACCTATCGGTCGCACTCGCGGTGCGCCACTGGGTTGAAAATATTGCATCTTTAGTGCTGGATTCTAGGGACTTATGAAAGAAGGCAACGGTCACGTGATATGCACATACGAGGAAACGGAGGACAGGTTAAGTCATAATAGTTTTCAGAAAAATATAATAAAAAATCTAAGTCGTGTACTTTTCAAATTATAGGCTTTGAAAAAAAAATCGGAAATCCCTACATACTGCGATAATCTTTTAGTTCCTATTACTGCAAATTTCAGTTTTTTCATCTCGATATCTTGTACCTAAACTAAAATTTAGGCAAAAGAAAACTTTATACGGAAATCCCTTAAATTTGTATCTTTTTAAACTAATTTTTCTGGAATTTCTTTTTATTATT